TTCCCTCTTTCCCACGAAGACCCTGCCCCTTCTCGCTCCTCGTCCTTCGTCCTTCCTTCTCATTGCTTTCTCTTCTCCTTCTCTCTTTTAACGGCTTTCCATTTCCTGCTTCCTAATTCTTGTCTTCCTCTTTTTTTCCTTTTCCAACTCTTCTTCTCCTCTGCTTTTTCTCTGCTCTTTCCTCGTTTTTCCCCTCCCTCTTCCCCGCACTGCCATTCCTCCACCTCCACTCAAACGTTTTGACATCCCACCTCCACCCATCACGACCTCCAGCTCCCTTTCTTCTCCTTCCCGCTACTTCTCCTCCTCCAGCCTCCTTCTCCTCTCCTTAAGCCTTCCCCTCTTCCTCCTTCAGCCTTTCACGTCTCCTCCCTCTCCTTCCCCTCCAGCCTTTACCTCCTCCAATTTCCCTTCCAACCTTTACCTCCTCCTCCAGCCTTTACCGTGCCTCAGCCTTTACCTCCTCCAGCTTTTAACCTCCTCCTCCTCAAGCCTCACCTCCTCCATTTCCTTCCAAGCCTTAACCACCAGCCTCCTCATCCCTCTCCACCACCACCTCCTCCTCCAGCCTCCTCCTCCTCCAGCTTTACCTCCTCCTCGCTCCCTCCTCCTCCCTTCCCCCGATAATGACTCTCAGCTCTCCTTAAGACCCCCGCCGTGGTATCTTGGTTCTACAACGCTCGCTCCCAAGATGGAAAGGGAAGAGATATTTATACACGCAGCGTAAAAATACATGTAGTTCGAAAGATGAATGCAAAGCCGAGTAAATAAATAAATGTAAATATATCACCTGTTGTTGTTGTCCAGGCCATGGGAGGTGCGGGTGAGAGGGAGGGAGAGAAGGAGATAGAGAGGAAGAGAGAGAAAAAAGCCAAGGAAAGTGAGAGAGGAAATGAACTGATAGGAAAATAATGTGAGACACAAAAAGAGAGAAAGAAGGACAAGGAGAGGGAAAGGGAAGAGAGAGGAAGACAAAGGGGAAAGAAGAGAGAGAAAGGAGGAGGGAGAGGGAGAAAAGAAGAGAGAGCGAGAGAGAGCGGGAGGGAAAGGGAGGGAGGGAGGGAGGGAGGGAGGGAGAAGAGAGGGGAGAAGAGTGAGAGAGAAGAGAGAGAGAGAGAGAGAGAGAGAGAGAGAGAGAGAGGAAGAGAGACGAGAGAGAAGAGAGAGAAGAGAGAGAGACGAGAGTGAAAGAGTGAGAAGAGAGAGAGTAGAGATGAGAGAAGATAGAGAGGATAAGAAGAGAGAGAAGAGAGATAGAAGATAGATAGAGAGATAAGATAGAGAGACAGACAGACAGAATAGAGGAGATAGAGAGAGAGAGAGAGAGAGAGAGAGAGAGAGAGAGAGAGAGAGAGAGAGAGGAGAGAAGAGGAGGAGAGAGAGAGAGAAGAAGAGAAAGAGAGAGAGAGAGAGAGAGACCAAACACAGAGAAGTCTCGGCGCCAGTGGAAGCCAAAGGTTAAGTGTCAGAGGTAAGATTATGAAGGTGAAAACCCAGACGAAAATAAGGAACACAAAACTCGATTAATGATAATTTATTACTCAGGCTTCGAAAAACAAAATCTGGTTTATGTTTCTGCTCTCTCCTGATTATCATATAAAAAATAAGAAAAAGGTAACGAAAGGCAAGGGTAAGGAATCAATTTAAACGATACAAACACACCTTTACGACTAAGACGTATAAAGTAAGCCGAGGAGAGGAGGAGGAGGAGGGGGGAGGGAAAAGAGAGGAGGAGGAGGAGGAGGAGAGGAGGAGGAGGAGGAGAAGAGGAGGAGGAAGGAGGAGGAAGGAAGAGGTAAAAGAAGAGAAAGGAAGGAGGGAGGGAGAGAGAGAGAGAGAGAGAGAGAGAGAGGGAGGGGGGAGAGGGGAAGAGAGGGAGAGGGAGAGAGAGAGAGAGAGAGAGAAGAAGAGAGAGAGAGAGAGAGAGAGAGAGAGAGAAGAGAGAGAGAGAGAGAGAGAGAGAGCGGAGAGGGGAAGAAGAGAGGGAGAGAGAGAGAGAGAAGGGAGAGAGAGGGGAGAGAGGGGAGAGAGGGAGAGAGGGAGGAGGGAGGGAGGGAGAGAGGGAGAGAGGAGGGAGGGGGGAAGGGAGGGAGGGAGAGGAGGGAGGGAGGTAGAGAGAGAGAGAGAGAGAGAGAGAGAGAGATGAGAGAGAGAGAGAGAGAGAGAAGAGAGAGAGAGAGAGAGAGAGAGAAGAAGAAAGAAGCAGCAAAGGGAACTGGAGAAGGGGGGGGAAGAAGAAGAAAAGAAGAGGTGGTGGACAGAAGGAGCACGAAGAGAAAAGGGAGAAAAAAAGGAGGAGACGAAAAAAGAAGAAGAAAAGAAGGAACACGAACAAGAGAAGAGGAGAAAGGAGGCCGAAGAACAACAAACACACACGAATCCTTCGCCCAGAAACTCGCACCTCACCTTCTTCCAAAAAGTCAAGAAAAGGAAAAACCGAGACAGAAAATCAAAGAAAAAAAAAAAAAAAGAAAAAAAAAAAAAAAAAACGAAAGATAACGCCCAATCACGTCAAGAACCAAACCAAGCCGTCTGTCCCTGCCCATCCCTCCCCCGCCCTCTCACCCCAGCCTCCCCAGCCCTGCGCTACCCGGTAGGAGGCCCCGCCCCCTCCGCCCACGCCCCATCACACGCCAGCATCACGTCCGAAAGCAAGCCAACCTCGACCATTACGCAGCCAATCACCATATATGAAAGGCGCAAAACGACTCGCTCATCCCCCGGGATGAGTCACCGAAACGGCGTCCCCTAATCGCCCTACAAGGTACTCCCTCCCCCTCCTCTCCTTTCTATTTTTTTTTCCTCTTTTTTTTCTATTCTTTTTTCTCTTTGTGCATCGTCTTCTTTATTCCATGTCTCTTCGTCTCTCCAGGTTCCACCTTAAATCGGTCGGCGTCCTCTCTACAAGGTCTCCTTCTCCCTCCCTCCTTTCTATTCCCGCCCCCCCTTTTTCCCTCTTTGTCCTCTTCTTATTCATGTTTTCGTCTCTCCCTTCTTCCACCTAAAATCGGGCGTCCTTACAAGGTCTTCCTTCTCGCTCCTCCTTTCTCTATTTCCCCTCCCCCCCCCCACTCCCGGCTTTCCCCGTGTCCCTAAGACCCCCCCCCCCCCTTTTTTCTCTTCTCTTTGTCCTCTCTTTATTCATTGTCTTCGTCTCTCCCTTTCCACCTAAATCGGAATCGGCGTCTCTACAAGGTCTCCTTCTGCCCTCCTCCTTTCTATTCCCTCCCCCCCGCCCTTTTTCTCTTTGTCCTCAAATGCTTTATTCAATGTCTTCGTCTCTCAATTCCCCGAAAACGTGGCGTCTCCTTCTCCTCCCTTCTTTTTTTCTCTTTGTCATCAGTCTTCCTCTTTATTCATGTCTTCGTCTTCCCTTCCACCGAAAACGGCGTCTCCTACAAGGTTCCTTCCTCCTCCTCCTTTCTATTATTTTTTCTCTTTTTCTCTTTTTTCTCTTTGTCATCGTCTTCTTTATTCATGTCTTCGTCTTTCCCTTCCACCGAAAACGGCGTCCCCTACAAGGTCTCCTTCTCCTCCTCCTTTCTATTTTTTTTCTCTTGTCATCGTCTTCTTTATTCATGTTCTTCGTTTTTCTCCTTCCATTTTTCTTTGGTTTCTGATTTTCTTTATTTTGTCTTCGTCTCTTTTCTTTCCTTTTTTTCTTTGTTCATATCTTCTTCATTGTGTCATCCGTCTTTTCTTTCCATTTATCTTTGTTATCATCGTCTTTATTAATGTCTTCGTTTCTTCTCTTTTCCTTTTCTTTGTCCTCATCTTCTTTATCTAAGCCTTCGTCTTTTTCATTTCATTTTTCTCTATCCTTATCTTTATCATTTTTATATTTTCTCATCCCCTTTATTTATGTCTTCGTCTTTTTCCCTTTCTTTCTCTTTATCTTTTTTATTTATTTCTTCATCTTCTTCTTCGTCATGTTCTTGATTGATGACGTCTCACTTTTTCTTTGTTCTGATCTCCTTGATTTATTTCTTCGTCTTCTATTTCATTTTTTCTTCTTACTTTTTTTTGTCCTTATCTTTTCTTCCTCCTCCCTTCTGACCTCACTTTCCTTGAATTTATTTTCTCTTTTTTCTTTCTTTTTTCTTTTCCTCTTTTTTTTTTTTCTTCTTCCTCCCTCCTCTTCCTCTGCTTCTTGTTCTTTGTTCTTGGTCCTTAGCTTCTGCTCTTCTCTTCTTTCTCACTTTGGCTTCCTTTCCTCCTCCTGCTGTCATCTTCTCCTCCAATCTATTCACTTTCGTCTTCTTGCTTCGCTCATTGCAGCTGCTAGTCCCTTACCCTTTATCCCCACTTTCCCTCGTATCTTCCCTCCTCTAATCAACGCGCTTTTTATTCCCGGTTTCTTCCAGGTCATCTCCACTCTCCTCCCCATAAGCATTTCACGCAGCTGCACCTACCTATCCACCATTTAAACTTAATACCTTTCCCCTCTTCTCCTTCCACCGAATTAAGCGTGTCGCCAGCCTCAAATACCCCGAGCCGCCCCCGCCCTTATTCATTCACGCACACACCATTAACTTAATTACCTTATTTTTCCTTCTCTCTCTTCTCCGCTCTTCTCACCTCCCCCCATAGGGAGTCGTATACCACCCCTCCCAGTTCCCCGTGCAGTTTAAACCATTGCAACCTAACAACTCATGGCCCTCTATTCACCCAATTACTATACTATTACTTTATACCTTTTTTTCCTTCTCTCCCTCGCAGGAACACTCGACACCTCCCCGCGCCCTCACCCAACTAAGCCACTCACCAAGTATCACTAATGGGTGGCAAAAACTCATCCCCTAATTCACAATTACCCTTTCCCCCCCTTCTTCTCTCTCCCCTCTCCCACCCAACCGCCTCGTCCCGCCACGCTAAGCATTCACATACGCTTAATTCATACCCTCCGAAGACTCTTTTTGCTTCGCGCATTCACGCGTCAATTAAACTTTTTTAAATAACCTTTTCCCCCTTTCTTCTCCCTTCTTTCTCTACACCTCTCC